AATGATAAAGTGATAACGTCAACTATAGCACATGCAATATAGATGATAATGATGATAAGAACCAAGAAAGCAGCATGAAAATGTAGACACTCCGATAATTAAAATGGGTCATGATTGGTTTGATTTTATAAATATTCATTAAGCTATTTGTATTAGAGTAAAGCCTGAAAAGGATCTAATTGAGAGCAACGTTGTTCGCCTATATGTCTTGTTCTAACCCTGAAAGTACAAACAGACTTGATTTCTGTACTTCTTCGGAGTCTACACTGAAAACCTCACTAATGACCGACAAGACAATTGTAATATTACCTTCGGATAAACGAAGAAAACCCGTCGTCATGAACAAAATAGACTATATCAAAAGGCACAGGAATTACCAAGTGATAAAAGTGTGTACCAAACACTAGACCTCTAATTCAATTAAATAGCTGGGCAACCAGGTCCAAAGGGAACTGAGGAGTTTAATAAAAGCCGACCAAATCGAAATGGAAGGACAAGGGAGGATAAAGACAAACGGACCGGTCCTATCGAGGTTCTGTGGTCGACCTAATATACATAAGATAGATATTCCATTACGATTAATAGTTTCGCTACCTGGGACACCTCACTTCAACTTACCGAAAGGATTATGCAGAAAACTAAAGCATCTCATCAATGAAAGTGAACACTTAGTCAGCTCAGCAAATGAATTTCTAGACAAAATAAAAGACTTAAGGACAAGCAGTAATGAAAGGATGAAATCCTTTGATGTGCCTTCACTCTTCACTTTGATCGACTCAAATCCACCCAGTGATGACAATGAATATCACGAAGATCACGGTTGCAAACCTAGTGGAATTGATCGAGCTATGTCTCACGACCAATTTTCAATTCAACGGGAATATTTAAAGACAAACAAAGGGACACATATGGGATGGCCAATATCCGGATTGATTGCTAAAGCTGTGATGCAGCAAGTAAAATCAATAGCCATTCCTCCCCTCCAGCCAAAAATTTAGATTTGGTACGTCAATGATACATTCATAATTCTCAAGGAAGATGGAATAAAAATCGCGGTCAAACTAATCAACCAAACATTTGAAGGAATTTACTTCATAAAGGAGGAGGAATCCGATGAAAAAATTCCATTCCTAGATGTCCTCACCAGCAGAACACAGGATGAGACTGTACAAACCCAAGTGTACGCGAAAGCCACACACATCGATCAAATATTCACCCACAATAGCAACCATCTCACAGTCTATAAGGAATGTTGTGTACAAACGTTATCCTCAAGAACCAAAATACATTGAAGCATTGAATCACTACAGAAAGTCGAAGAAAAATACCTGTACAAAGTGTTCAGAGCCATTGATTATCCATACAACTTTATTAAAAAGTATTTATCCGCAGAAAAGAAGACAGAGCAATTGCCTCACGTTAGTAGGCACGTTACACTTCCCAACACCAAAGATATTTCAGAAACAGTCAGCAGATTGCTTCATCCTTACGGAATCAGAGTAGCACACAAACCAACAAAATCACTACACAGCACGTTGTGCAAACCAAAGGACTCATGTCCAAAGAAGACAGCACAGATTTAATCTACAGAAGCAATTACGGAAACTGTTCACGGCAATATGCTGGCCAATCTACCCATCGGATTACTCAAAGAACTGATGAATACCAACTAGAAGCAAAGCGACATGAAGTGGCCTCCTTGGTTTCAATGCATGCAGACAATCACGATCACACATTCAAGTGGAAGAATGTGGAAATCCTTCAAAGAGCAGGTTCGAAAACTGCAAGGAATTTCCAAAAGCATGGTATCCAAACGAAAGGTCAATTAACTGACATATGGATATAAACCCAATCTACAATCTTCTTAAGAAGTAAACAGTCATGCACCAACCAATGGTAAATTAGCCGTACAACTCAATGATGATGCATAGTGTGACAACAACAAACAGCACAATTTGACTCCAACAAAGAATATCTAATGAAGTGAGTGAAGGAAATTTAAGCTCAAAGAGGTCAGAGTGTGATGGAAACATTTCTTCGCCAACCTGCAAGTGGACAACATCCCAGGTCAATAGAAACAATATATCTGAACATTCGTGTAACATTCGAATAGTCCTCACTTCTTTATGAAGTTATTGCTGAAGATATAACTTAGCCTAGTGATGAAAATTTCACGAAAAATATCAAAGCTCAGAAAACACCAAACTACAACTAGCCCGTATCACTCAGTAGACTGTTAAATAATCTGTTCTTCGTTGCAATCAGCGTTGCCTACAAGTTTCCAAGGGAAAATACTATCACACAATATACTGGACATTCATTCAGCTGATGCATTTATATTGACAAAATTATGCAACCTAGGTTTTTTCGCTAGTTGTAAACAAATGAAAGGTATTGAAGAGACCAAGTATGCTGATCAAGATGTGTATGGATCAAAAGGGTGTTGAGGGATAAAGTTTTTATTAAAATAACCTGACATAAAATCCCTACTTCTACGTTGACTGTCGTCCTCACTATCATTCGACTCCTTCATCAATGGTACTATGAACAATTCAGGGGTATAACCAGTAAAAGTCTTTAGTTTCGGTTTTATTGTTAACTTTACTTAGGATGATACAAATTCCGACAATCGATAATTTCAATGAATTCACTCTTCTTCTTACACTTTAAATTTGATTTAATAACTGATGTTATGCAGTGTAGTGCTAACAATTCATCAGAACTAGCCTAACAATCAATCCCAACATACTTATTCTCTCTGTGACCATCTTATATTATTATTACAATTAAGGATTCCCAAACAGTATTTGGTAGTGGTGTGCAGAATAATATATAAGTGAAGACAAGAATTCGGTGGAAAAAAAAACACAGATGCCTGGGGTAAACACAAGTGAACACATATATGAATATTAATTCATGCTTAATCTTGTACAAGTCTTCTTGCCTAAATGCACACAGGATGGAGATATTAGAGAAGATTCGAAGCCAAAGAACATACAATGACTTCCCTATGGAGTTAAAATTATTCATATCAGTAAGCCTGGTGATGATACTTTCCTGTACTTAATATCAAAGCTGGCAGAAAATCAAACGTATATTTGCCTTATATAGAGATCAATATAGTGTTGATGTCTATTTACAACAATAAAATATCTCACTAGCTAAGAAATCAATCATCTTTCAAACATAATGCAAAAATGAATGATTTCTTTTATCTGAATGTTTTGTATCAACATTTTTTGTCAAAATATAACTTTTTCCAAATGTTATAAAAGACTGAAACACAGAACAAAATGTTTTACTTTTACTATAATGATTTCCTCTTTTGTATATATACACATCTACATCTGAACAAACTGTTAATCAGCTGATGGAGTTTGAAGATTTTCCATCTCCCATTTCACATTTCCATATACACTGATATTCACGGGTAATATGAATATATATTTTACAAAAGTGTATATACTTTTCGTATATAAAAGTTCTTATAAGTATACATTTGTGTGCATGGACTGAATCATTAGA